GTGGATACCTGAGGAATTTTACTCTTGTGTTCTCATTTCTAGTCCTATCTCATCTCCCTGAGAAATACCATGGATCTGGGGAAAACCAGAAATTAGTTTACCCTCACAACTAGGTTGAAACCTCTTTCTTTCACTCAAAGAAGTGTTTAGTGTAAAAATGTATCTTGGGTAGGATCTTCAAACACACTGTAGGTCTTCCCCAAAGCAAGAAAAATTCTTTGCTGTTTAACTCATTTGGAGTACTCTATCAAATTAGACAGGAAATAGTAGATAGGAAAGGATGACAATTACAATTCCTTTGTTTCTCATCATCATTAAATAAGATGGTGGTTGAGTAGAGTCTGAAAAAACCAGATTCCTTCAGTCCCATGTTTACCCAGCGTGTGGTGGTGCCTCCAATCCTGTTATATTATAGAGTAATAGTTGAAAAAATTTAAAAGACAGCGAAGGTTTGGAACTTTGGTAGAGGGGGTTGTATTATTTAACAGAAGACACACTGACAAAAATCTTTTACAACACTATAATTATAAAGTTGAAGGCACATCCTTGGCAGAAATATAATCAATTACATGCTTATGGAAAAACAAACTACTGGCTATCTTGACTAAAATAGATGAATATTGCACAACATTGTTTACTGCTGTTTTGGGCACCAAGCAATCATGTTTAACAATGGTTGGCTAAACATTTCTTTATCTAGAAACAAGGTTGAGGCATTTAGTTTTGGCTACAAAAGGCATTCATCATCAATGACATTAAAGAAACTGGGGTTTTTTCTACGTTTTTTTACTTTCTTTGAAAATTTTCTCGAATTTATTTATTTTTTTTAATGGAACAGTCTACACAGTGTTCAGGGTTTCACTACTAGGTCAGACTCATAGTGATCCACCTGTTTACAGCCTCTCAAGAGCTGGGATTACAGACATGCGCCACCATGCCCAGTCTCAATTGCCATCTCAGCATGCCCCGGGGGTGGAGCCAGCACAGCAGGGTCAGGGATCGAACCCCTGGACCCTGTGCTTGCTTGCAGGTGCTTTATTCCACTGAGCTATTTGGTTGGCTGTCAAATTTAATTCTGAAGAGTAAAAATTGTTTTGATTGAAGAAAAACAATGTTTTGTGCTTTATCTGCTTACTCATAGAAGATCAAAGAATTGCAGAAAGTTTGTGTAAAAATAAGCAATAATTTGGCATTAATCTATATGTCTTACATTTGGTAAAGTACCACATTTTTAAAATATACAAAGTAAATCAAATCCCAAAGGGAGTAATACAGGGAACATTTTCATTCTTTTTTAAGTAACCAGTAACCAGATGCCTCAAGAGTAAAATAAATATAATGAAAATTCATTGTAAAGCAGAATCCACATGTAATAGAAAAAAGTCAAATACACATTTTTTAAGTTGTATATATAGAAAAGATATGCATGCTTAAATTTTTGGAAAACTGTCTACAGTGCTATTTTAAATACTATGTATATCTGAATAAAGAATACTTTTTTAAAATTAAAGAAGAATATGAAATTATTTGTTCACAAGGCATCAAATTTAACATTTTAATAACATTGCTACTTTCACAACTGACAACCATCCTTCTTTAGATTACAACATTAAATCTTTGAAATTCAAAAGGCATCTTTGGATTTGTAAAGAACAGTGCCCCATAGCTGAGTCTGCACCGGCAATGAATATCAGAGTATGACTGTTATTTTCAGACTGTGGTCTAGTTGCTGAGTGAATACAGCAAAGTCATAAAGAAAATATAAAGAACTTCCAGATATTCAAATATAAATCTACTTTCCTTCAGTATAGCAATATGGGTGTATGTATGCGACTGTAAATGTTTGCGAGTATATAGTAAGCCAAAAAATGTATACATACACTTTAAGAAAACTGCTCTGATGTTTTTAAAACAGATGGTGATACCTCGTATGGAGCACCCTACAGGATGTTGTATATCGCAGATAACCCATTATACTGCCAGTTGGCCTTTATAGGAGAAACTGAACATGTATATGCAGTAATCTGAAAGATCAAGGTTACCCAAGCAGCAGTTGGCCATACTAATAAAGGTCTGGAAGCTAACTGCCATCACCTTGAGCACCTCTTGTAATTGTGAAGGCCAAAGGTAACTTGTATTATTCTCATAATGTCTCAATAAATGTAGCATTAAAACATTTACACAAGTTTTTCTTAAAGTGTGTATACATTTTGGTGGACTCTGTATATGTGAATAAACACAAAGATACACACTTAGAAGATTTATGCTCTAATAGTTACTTAGAACTAGTTATTAACTAAAAGCAATTTTTATGATCCTCTCCAAAAACCATCTCTCTCTCCAATGAATGCAGCTTTCATATGAAGTTCATGAAAATTCAAGATTGCAAGCCTTGTGGTAGAAAATTCAAATGTGCCTACAGATATTTAAAGCAGGACTCTTGCTAAATAGCATGTTTTCTGTTCTTGTGGTTAGAAATTAAATTATATGCTTGATTACTCCCAGAGCATAAGTTACTATTCCCATTGTGCTACAACATACATGTGGGACCAAGGGGGTAACTCAAACACACACATATAATGAGAAGTAACTGGTTATGTTCAGCAGGAGAGAGAGAAAGGGGAGGGGGAGAAGGAGAATTAGGGCATAAGAGAAAGGGGGGCAGGATAAACAATAATGAGGTGGGAGGGGTGCTTCTTTCTTTTCAATTTGGCTCCAGAATAAGAAAAATCTATTAGATTTTGTCATATGAGCTGTTTCTTCTAGAATAAGTAAGTCATAATATAATGGGCCACTGGAATTGAAATAAAAAATGATTACTAAAATTCCAAGTATAAGCATTGAGGATGGAATATAACACATTGGCCTAAAAAAAGTCAAAATATATCATCTCACTGATAGATCATTTAAGTATATTTGCCTTTCTAGAATAATAGCACCTTCATCAAAAGTTAAGCAAAATAAGCCAACTCAAACACTGCATGTTTTCTTTCCTATGTGAAGTCTAAAAAATTAATGAAAAAGTAAGGATACAAAAATAGAAAGGAAACTTAGAAAAGAAGAAAGAAAACAGGTACTGATGCAACGAATGAAAGAGGAGTGATATGGAGGATGAATATGGTTAAAGTATGCTATATGTATGAACAAAAATGCCAAAACATACCCAAAATTTTGTAATAACATGTGCTCATAAAAATTTTTAAATCATATGTTAAAAACTAGAAACCTTAAGAAAGTTTCAGTCCTCTCTTTAAGAGAGCTGCGATAGTCATTGGTTCTTTGCTAAATCTGAACACAGCATAGAATATTTTAAATCTTGCTGTGTGTGGTGGCTCACACCTCTAATCCTGGCACTAGGAAGGCTGAGACAGGAGATCCTGTGAGTTCAAGGACATCCTGAGCTACAAAGTGAGTTCAAGTCCAGCCTGAATTGCACAGTGAAATCCTATCTCAAAAAGACAAAAAAAAATTAAACTCAATGTGTGCGTACACACACAAGCGTGTATAAGAATAAAAGAGAAAAGGGGTAGAAGAGGAAGAACAACCTCTCTATTCTTACTGGATTTTAGACTCTACTTTCAAAAAATCATTTTTTTATTTAGTGCTGACCTCAAACAGAAGATCTAACATTTACTGAGCATATTTCCTATGTGTTAGATATTTATGGTAGCAGTTTAATGTATGGCAATTGGAATAAAATGTTAGGAATCTTCATTTTCACATCATGTATATGAAATCCATCTTGCATTTAATACATCAACTTAAGTATTCGTACAAGTGCCAGATTTCTGATCAGCTTATTATTTCCCAGGCATTCAAAGAGGAATTTTTAAATCCAGATGACAATGAGAATAAATCCCTAAATTTGCCAACCATTCTAAGTAGGCAAGTGCTTTAAACAAAAGTATCTATTTGAGTAAAAGGTATTAAAACCCAGGACAATTCTAATTTTTGTATTACAGTTTACTGTAATTTTTGGTAAAAGCAGCTTTGTGTAATAGCTTCTTCCTTCCTCCCTCCCTTCCTTTTGATATTTGGTTTTGTGAGACAAGGTCTCACTATCTAGTTCAAGCAAGCCTTGAATTTACTATATAGGCCTCAAACTCGCAGTAGTTCTTTTGCCTCAGCTTCCCAAGTGTTGGGATTACACAGTGTACACCACCACGTCTGGCTCAGCATTATTTTAAAGTCATTTTGACAGGTTATCTGAAACACTAAAAGATAATTTAAATCTATTAAATTACCTATACCAGCCATGTAATTATACTATACCAAAAAGATGATTTTAGTGAATCCAGGTAAGTTATTTATTTTTATCTTTTTGATATAGTGTCTCCCTATGCAGTTCAGGCTGGCCTTGAGCTCACTATGTAGCCCATTCTGGTCTCAAACTTACAATGATCTTCCTGCCTCGGCCTCCTGAGTGCTGGGAGGCATGTGCCATCATGCCCGGCAATCCAGGTAATTTTATGACCTGAATATGTTTAATAGTGTTCATCTCAAAAATCATTTGAGTGGAAGAGGTTCAAAATGTTAAGTTTCTGGAGTGAGACTGATAGACTACACTAAAAACAATTTACAGGAAGAGTGAATTGAAAGTTAGAACAGAGCTAGGCTGGCTGAAGGAGAAATTTAATATATTTTTTACAACAATGGAAAGATAAAACACAAGAAAGCCATTATAAAAGTTATTGGAAAAGTTATCACTTATTTTTATCAATGAAAAACAGCCTAAACTTGGCTCACTCAAAGGAAAATAACAAAAGACATCTTGGAATAACTAAGAAAGCAACTACACAGATAAGGATACAAGGAGAAGGGGAAAGAAAGGCTTCAATAAATAAATAAGGCACATCTGTTCTTGAACAGTTTTAACTGTTTACTTTCTAAACCAGTACTTTATATAGTGCTTTGAAAGTCATTGCTTCCTGGGGGATAGGCTGAAGAACGTCCTCAAAGTCATGCTCTCCAAACTTCAAAATTTTAATTATCCTCACCTGTTTTTGTGGTCAAATAAAAAAATCTATCACCTTAGCAGCTAAATCAGCAATCCCAAAGTGTACAGTTTAATGTAAACCTGGCTATCCTATCTTATCTGTCACAAATAAAAACAAAAAAAAGTTAAAAAAATACTTCATTTTCAATAAAACCAGGTTCAGAGCTCATGCCCCGAAAAAAGATATTTCTGTCATTAGACAAAGGCAACTCAAACAGAATCACTCATATAAGAGGATGAGATCAACACAAAATCTTTCCACGATACTTTGAAAAGCTAAGGTGAAGGCATGAATGCATGTCAGTGCATAACAATTTCAACTAGCAGCATTCTCCGTGGCCTTTTACAGTGTGGTGTCATCATATTCCCTGAGGTCTCCCACCAGGAGTGAGTGCTTGTCAGGTTCACTAGTAACAACACTATTTAGGGAACGTTTATCAGACAGTAGTGAGTTTATAGAGGCTCTGCTGTAGTTCACAATCCGATCCAGCAAACCCAGTTTAGGAGAATTTCTTGAGGTGTCATCTATTCCAATATGAACGCTGATTTCTGAAGGACTCTTCTCTCCTATCTGGCTCTGGGCATGTAGTTCGGTTTTCTCATAAGTTGGTTTCCTATAACTGGACAAACACGAAAGGACAGTAGTTTATAATAACCAGATAACTCAATGTCTGCTACATGCACAAATGAAAGACTTGCCTCACATAAAATGTGCAAAGGTGGTCACTGTTAGGAAAGCAACTCGAAATGAATCATGTGGAGTCACATGATCAGAAATCCCACTTCTCAGAGCCACTGGACTAGATTTTACCCAATTCAGTGCTTGTGGTTATTATGTATGAACTATATGAAGTGACAACTGCATAACAAGTCATTTTTAGCTTACAATACTTATTAGAAATGGTTTGAGGTTATAAATGATCAGTAAAAGAATAAAATCTGCAAAGCCTGAATACAGACAATAAAAGGCATAGAAAATAGCCACATGAGCAAGCCATCATTACTTACAGTTTGAGAAAGAGAGAAGAAAGTACCACAGAAACAGATGAAGCAGCCATTGCTGCAGATCCCATCCAGGGTTGCAAAACCAAGCCAATGGGCATAAAAATTCCTGGGTAACAAGTAAGATTAGTTAGAGGAGGTAAGAGTATATGGATTATCAATGTGCTTCTAATAACTAATTTCTTTAACATTCAGAATTTTAATCCAGTTGGTGGTGGAGAATTGTTGCCAAGTTTTCACAAACAGTGTTGCTATGAACATCCTTGAACAAATCTCCAGCAGCCATGTTTGAGAATTTCCCTAGTGTATATCCTGAGGGTGAAACTTTCAGGTCACAATACCAGGGGCACATGTTTAGCTTTAGGCAGATCTTCCTCAGTTGATCTCCAAAGTGGCTATATCAGTTTATAATCTCATGGAAGTTAATGTTGTACAAGTTAATCCACACTTGGTTTTGACAAACATTTTAATATTTACTAACACAATGGAGATACAATATAGACTTATTGGCCTTTTAGTTGCCATTTGATTACCTGTTTGTTTTTTTACTTTTCTACATATAACATGTATTAAAAAAATAAAAAATAAAATAAAAACAATTACTGGGAAATAGTAAAAAATATATAAACTGTGTAATTTTTTAAATCATTTGTTCCATGAATTAATCTTACTGGATTAAATTGTTCTTTTGCTTTTTGCCCTCAGTAATTTATGTACTTGATAAGGAGCTTTGTAATTGCTTTAATGTCATTTCATGTTTTTTGTTTGTAAACCAGAGACCATAAGAAGAAAGTGATAACTATTTCTCCTGTAATTACTAATTCCTACGAAATCTCTAAATTTAGGAGATTCTCAGGTATATATTAAACAAACATAGATTATTATGTCTTGCTCATATTACTTTAACTCACCCCCTCTCTCTTCTTACACACACACACAAACACACACACACACACACACACACACACACACACACACACACGGGTCTCTCAACCAAAAAGAATACTTGTTGACTACAATAAAATATTAAGAAGAGAATTTTCTGTGATAGTCACAAATATGTAACAAGACCAAAGCTAGAGGCCAGGGAGATGGCTCATATATTCTTAGGCTATAGTGAACATTACTGAAGATGAAAATTATTAGTTTTACCATTATATCTCACAATACCAGCAACCTATATAACAAAGACTAATAGTATGTTGACACATGCCTGCAATCCCAGCTACTTGGGAGGCAAAAGCAGGAGGACCACAAAAATTAGACCAGCCTGGGTCAATTAGCAAGACTCTGTCTCAAAAAAAAAAAAGTAAATAAAGAGCTAAAGATGTGTCTCAGTTCAATCCCCAGCAACAAACACAAATGCACACAGTCACACACCCCAAAATTAACAACACTAAAATTTTCATATGATAAATCTCTTAATGGCTTCAGTGGGAAAAGGAGTAATAATTTTGCATCACCTACCAGCAGCGATAGGAATTCCAACAAGATTATAAATTAGAGCAAAAACAAAATTTATCCGAATCCTCTTGACTGTTTTTCTTGATAAGTCAATACTTGCCACTACATCCAGAAGATCATTCTGAGAACAGAAATACTGGTAATATTAGTGAGAGATTCTAATTTTGTAGTAGTTTTTGTGCTTGATACTATGTATATCAGCGATATGTACTTTATGATAGTGTGTAAATTAACTACAAATCTCAGCTATTGCAAAAACTAGGGTTCTTTTTTTGTGGTACTGGGGATTGAACCCAGGACCCTGCACTTGCCAGGCAAGTGCTTATTCTACTGAGCTATCTCCACAGGCCCTATTTCTAGGGTTCTGAAAATATTTGTAGGGCTATGTAATGGTATAAGGATAAAACCATATTACAATAACTTCAGCGTTTGTTAAAGGTAATTTTATTGCAAATATTACCCTAAATTTTATTCTTCATGTTGTAAGCTTTATAATTTGCTTTCATACTGCTGGATTGAGACAATAGAAAATTAATAAGAATTCCCATATTTATATCCCCAATTTTCCAGCTCCTAATTGCTAGGAATATGGGAGTTAGGACTGAATCACTGTGCTCAATATACGTTATGAAACTATCACTGACAATGTTGTACAGTCTCACACTCCCGAGAGGTCAGACCATGGGACTTACTTACCCTTATCAAAACCACATCAGCTGCTTCAATGGCTACATCTGTGCCTGTGCCGATGGCAATTCCAACATTCGCCATTGCCAGAGCTGGGGAGTCATTGATACCATCTCCTACCATGGCTACTTGCTTCCCCTCCTCTTGAAGTTGCTTTACCTTAGCAACTTTGTGGGAAGGCAGAACTTCAGCAAACACCTTAGTAATACCAACCTACATGAGGAAAATAAACTCAATTTATTGCATGAGTACCTGGACCATAACTGAGCAATAATGAGCCATCATATTTTTACCCCTCAGATGCCTACATTTTATGGCTGATTGCATCCAGTCATAATGTAGAGAAGTGAGCTTTTATATATACTGGTGTAGACTGTACAAATGGGTATTGTCCTTTTGGCAGCACTTATCAAACTGTGCATATAGGGGCTGGTGAGATGGCTCCGTGGTCTAAAGCACCTACTTAGAACAAGCTTAGCAAAGCACAGGGACCGCGGTTCAATCCCCCCAGCACCACATGCCAGCCAGCCCCGCCCCCTGGTGGGCTGAGCTGGCCACACACACACACACACACAAATAAATAAATAAAATTTAAAAATAAAAGGATACAAAGTGTGCATATAATCTGATCCAATAATTCCTACTTCTAGGTATATTTTGGGTAGATTCATATATATCCAAAGATGTCAAGGGTGTTTACTACTGCCTGTCTGCAACAACGAAATTTTCAAAATCACCTAAATGTCCATCATTATAGAAATGGTTAAATTATGATACACTCATACTATGATATCCCATTCAGCAGTGTACAAAAAATAACTTCTATGTTTCATATGAATAAAGTTCTAAGAAATAATTTTTAAAAATGCAAACTATTGATGACCTGCACAAAATGATTCAATGATGTTAAAAATACCCAAACTACCCATTTGTATATGAGCATATATGCAGATAAAAGTGGGGGAGCGGTAATAACTGGACAGGGAATATGGGAAAGGATGAGAAACTCTTTACATTCTTCTGTAATTTTATATAAAAATATTTGTATGTTCCTTCTGTTATTTACTAGATTCACGGAGAAAGCATTCCAAAGAAGAAATGATTGAAAAATATTGGAGGCAAGAAAAATGTGGGCATCAAATAAAAAATGGCACGTCAAAGTGGTACCTTAAGAGAAGAGTTCCAAGGGGCCGGGGAGATGGCTCAATGGAATAAGCACTTCCCTGGAAAGCATAAGGGCCTGAGTTCAATCCCCGGTTCCGGAAAACAAAAAAAAAAAGAGAAGAGTTCCAAGGGCCAGCCAGATAGCTCAATGGACTAAAGCTGCAGGGACTGGATTTGATCCCTGGCATGCCATGCTGGCCCTGTCCAGGGGGCGCACTGAGATGGCGACTAAGACTGGGCATGGTGACGCAGGCCTGTAATTCCAGCACTTGGGAGCCTGAAAACAGGAGCATCACTACAAGTTCAATCTACGTAGTGAGACCCTGTAGATCCTGTAGTAAATACATAAAATTAAAAAAAGTTAAAAAAAAAAGAAAACAGTTCCATCTGTGGTGCTCAGGAAAGAGTAGGGAAACCTGCAGGGAGCTACTGCCCATTTCAGGTGTAAGACCTTGGGAGCCTCACTTAGGCTGGGGTACACTGTTACTCAAATATCCCATGAGCTAAGCAAATACTTTTTACTTATACCAATAATGCAAAAAGCCCTGAGTTTATTAAGCATAGTATGCTAAATCTTCTGTAAGGATCTGGATATAGCTACTTGGTGATAATGAAAATAACAGGTAATATGATTTTCTTAGCATCTGAATATAAGAAATAATCCACATAGGAAGAATTAGAAGTCACTACTTGCCTCCACCCCAACAATTAAGTACACCAATTACCTGAGAAGCAATAGATCTAGCTGTTTTACTGTTGTCTCCAGTCATCAGAACTACTTCTAAGCCCATAGATTTCAGAATGTGCACAGCCAGCTCTGCTTCAGGCTTCACTGTATCAGCAATGGCTATCAGGCCACACAGCTCATCTAACATAGCATCAGGAAAGAAAAAGTTTGGAATATGAAAGAAAGATAATATTTTAATGTAAAATCTCAGAAAGAAATGAACTTTGTTAAATGGGTTAGCTCAAACATCTCTGAACTCAAAACATTTCTGAACTCACATAGACTTTATACCACAAACCTTGTAACAAATTTCTATATCTGGTTATGAGAATTTTATAGAAGTAACTAATGAATATAGTTGTTTTTTTTGTTTGATTTTGGGGGGACTGAACTTGGGACCTTGCGCTTGCCAGGCAGGCACTTATACCGCTGAGCTGCATCCCCAGCCCACTAACGAATATAGTAATAGAAAAATGAAAAGAAATGTACTAGCTACTAAAAAGCAATATTCCTTAGAGAGGTATTTGCTAATAACTGCAAATGTTTTTTAGTAAATTTAAAGGCAAATGAAACTAAAACTAATAAATTTCTTTTTAAAGTGGCGAGTGGGGATGAAAAAGACATTTTTATATATTGGGAAAGATTACTACAAAAGCATTCTATTTTTATATATAGAATTAAAGAACTTACTGTATTCTACTTTAAAAACAAAAATAAAAAGCCATTTTCTGCTTCTCCCTGGATGTAAAATTGCCAGAAGTTACTGCCTTCATAATTAACAAAGATCATAAATGTTGAACAATTAACCTTACAACTAGAATTTTTTTTTTTTTTTTTTTTTTTTTAGGAACCGGGATTGAACTCAGGCCCTTGCGCTTGCCAGGGAAGCGCTCAGTCCACTAAGCCATCTCCCCGGCCCCACAACTAGAATTTTAAAAAAATAATTTAACAAATGAAAGCACTTAAAACCTCAAGATATTTCCTGTACTATTATTTATAACAGTGAAATAAAAGGAATACTCCAAATGTATAACAGGAGAATGACTATAGTGTGAAAGTTTGAGGGGCTGGTGAGATGGCTCAGTGGTCTAAAGCACCTACTTAGAACAAATTAGCAACGCAAAGGGACCGCAGTTCAATCCCCAGCACCATGCCAGCCAGCCCTGCCCCCTGGTGGGCTGAGCTGGCCACACACACACACACACACACACACACACACACAAATAAATAAAAAATTTAAAAAAAAGAAAGTTTGAGCATTAAGTTATGTAGCATTAAAATAAAATTAAAGGGCTGGGGATATAGCTGAATGTTAGAATGCTTGCCTAGCATGATACAGGTGGGCATGCATAAATAAATAATAGGCAGGTAGATAGGTAGATATTAAGTAGCAAATATAGAAAATATTTTATTATGTAACATAAATTGTAATATTTGTACAAGGGCTTTTAAAATAAATTGTATGTGTACAAGGGCTCTTAAATTTTTATTCCGTTTTATTGAAGCAAAGTTTACATATAATATAACGTGCATACATTAAAATACTATATATACAATTATGTATATGTCAACAAAATCAAGGATGCAACATGAAATCAAAACTGTGTCAGAATGATGCTATTACACTTTGCTGTAATTTTACTGTTATTTCTAGGTTTAAAAAATCTATGATTAGGCTTTATGTAAAAAAGCTATGGTAAAAAAATAACAAAGATAAGTAAATGGTGCTTAGGCAAGCCCAAGGACTGAGATTTCATCCCCAGTATTGCATGTACCACCCCTGGGCACAACCGAGTCTAGGCATGGTGGCGCATGCCTGTAATCCCAGCTTTGGGGAGGCTGAAAACAGGAGCAGGAGGATCATGATGAGTCAGAGCTGCATAGTGAGACCCTGTACCGAATACATAAATCAAAAAAAAGATAAGCAAATGTAAGAGAATTTTTTAAGCTCTCTGTGTTGTGTGCATGCATGTACACTTGTGTGTGTGTGTGTGTGTGTGTGTGTGTGTGTGTGTGTGTGTGTGTTTTGAGACTTGAATCCAGGGCCTCCACCTATGGCTTTGTTTTTCTGTGTGTGATACTAAGGATTGAACCCAAGGCACTCACAATAAGCTACATACATAGTCCTTTTTAAAAAAAATTATATTTTGAGACAGGGTCTCAACAAGTTCCTAAATTGTCCAGGCTAGGCTTGAACTTTCAATCCCCCTGCCTCAGCCTTCCTGAGTGGTAGGATTATAAGTGTGCATCACTACACCCAGCAAGACTCTTTAATCAGTAACAATTACATGTTGCTATCATTTTCAGTTTGTATTCTGCTGCTTTTGAACAAGCCTCATGATTTGTCTCTTAAAACATAAAACATTAACTGACATCATCACAGGGAATTATAGCATACTTATGGAAAACCTTACCATCAACTGCCACCAATACAGCAGTGCGCCCTTTTCTTTCATGCTCAATCATAGAATCATCTATGTCATTATTAATGATGAGACCATTTCTAACCATCCACTCCCGGTTGCCAATGAGGACTTTGTACTGCTGAGTATTAGCAGCATCTGAAAGGAAGTATGGAAAAATATTTAGTGAGTTTATTTAATCTTTATAACAACTTTGAGGCAAGTTCTTCCTTTCTAACCTTGTAGTCACTTCAGTGCATTTTTAGTAGAACACCGCTTACAACACTGATTTTTAAGTTTTCTAGGAATATATTCTGCTCTTCCATGCCTCTGGGCCTTTGCATACCTTTCTGCCTTCACTTGAAATATCTTTACTGGAACCAGGGATTGAACTCAGGCCCTTGTGCTTGCCAGGGAAACACTTACTCTACTGAGCCATCTCCCTGGCCCCTCCATCATATTTTTTAACAAACAGTTAAAATGTTATGTTCTTAGTGAGATTTTCCCTTTGACCTTCTATAGCAATTCAATTAAATACAAAATATTTATTTTGCATGAGTAGCTAATGTGTTGGTCATAAATATGCAACCATGCTTATGTCTCATTTTCAGCTTGTGACTATTAACTTTAAGCTTTAGACTTGTCTGGCAATTCAATTACATTTCCCTAGGTTACATAGTCTTCATTTCTTTTGGATGGATATTTCAACCGTCGCCTCTCCTTTCAAATCTCCAACTTCTCCCATATTTACATACAGATGATGATTCTACTTCTTATTACATGTTATGGCTTATGTCTTAATGTCCCCCCAAAGTCTTATGCAGTCTTGCAGAGGTGACTGGTTCTAAGTTGTGTGATGCTGGGATTAAGTGTGTAGTGCTAGGATCAAGAATCTGTGGTTACTAAATTTGTCCACTGATTGATTCGGCGTAGTTCTAGGAGTGGATAATGGGAAGGCACTCCATGGGTGTGAGTGTTAAGTGTTACCTGTATTTAGGGTTTGTATCTACATTCTATCTAACCACTGTAGAGCAAGCAGCCTAGATATAATACAAGGGAGAAGAAGAGGGCTGCTATGTCATTTGCAGCTTGCTATTTTGCTTCTTCACTACTTTGCTGCCTTCTCACCATGAACTGTTTCATCCCTGCAATGCTTCCCTGTTTTAAGCCAGCCAACAATGAACTAAAACCTCTATGAACTGTAAGCTAAAAAAATCTTTCCTCCTATAACTTTGTGTGTCAGGTATTTTGTCTCAGCAATGAATAAAACTAACAAACACACTAGAAAAGGAAAACAGAAGCAACCAGGTGAGAATTCTGATAAGCACTCACTGCCATGTCTACACAGGTACGTGTTCCTCCTATATCCATATAATCTATCGTCTCTGGTTTTTGTTTTGTTTTTTGATTTTTTCTTTGGCAGAACCCGGGATTAAACTCAGGCCCTTGTTCTTGCCAGGGAAGCGCTTATTCTACTGAGCCTTCTCCCCGGCCCCTGTTATTTTTGTTTTGAGAATGGGTCTTACTATTTAGTTCAGGTTGGCTTTGAACTTACTATGTAGCCCAGGACAGCTTTGAATTGGAAACAGTCTTCTTGCCTCTACCTCCTGATTGCTGGGATCATAGCCATGTACCACCACACCTAGCTTCCCTTCTGTTATTATTAACTGACCCTGCTCCGACTTAAGGTCAATCTTTTCACTTGTGCATTAAATCCTTCTCCTTGTTTATTGTAGAACATGTCCCCCAACAATTTTCCCTGTTGTTTTCTCTGTTGTATACTGCCCCATCTTTTAAAAAACTCCAATCTCAACTACCTCCAACCATTGTATTCTGTGCTTCTGCACATAGCATAACTTTATTTTATTTTATTTTTTGCAGTACCAGGGATTGAACTCAGGACCCTGCGCTTGCCAGGCAAGCACTTATTCTACTGAGCTACCTCCCCAGCCCCATAGCAAAACTTTAAGAGTGTTAACTCTATTGAGTGTTTTCAATTTATGTTTTTCCATTCTCTTGTGAACTCCCTCCAATAAAGCTTTTGTCTCTTCTATTTCAATTAATTGTTAATACAGCTTAGCAGTGACCTTTAGTTTAATTAGCCTAGTGGTTTACTCTCAATCCTTTTCCTATTGGCCTCATTAATATTCTTCTTAGTCACTTTTCTCATCACTGGGACAAAATATCCAACACCCACAATTCAGGAAGGTAGATATTTCAGTCCGTAGTTGCCTGGCTCCTGTGACATAGGAAAGCTGTTCATGACATCGTGGCAGGAAAGCAGGAAGCAAGAAGGGAGAAGCATGGGGCAGTATATGACCTTACACGCCACTGCCCCAGTGACTACCTCCACCTATTAACACCATATTTAGTTATAAATTCATCAGTTAAGTATTCCACTCATCATTAATCCCTATGATCAAATCACCTCCCAAAAGCTCCACATATGAGCAAAAGGATTTTAGGGGACATCTAGATATAAATCACTATATTCTACTCCTGACCCCCAAAAGATTTATGTATATGCCTTTACCCATTTATATATTTATGTACACTCCTTCATGCATTCCTTTATGCAAAAGACATGTAAGGGAGTTGTTAAATCCTAAAAGTTTCAGCATGACTAAAATATCTAAGTACAACATCACCTTTGAGACTCAAGTCAAACGCTTAGCTGTGAGCCCTGTAAATATCAAAGAGATTAAATACCCTAACATACAATGATACAGGATAAACATTCCCATTCTAAAAGAGAGAAAGAGAGGGATAGAATCCAATGAGACGAAGACTAAAACCCAAGAGGGCAAACATTAAATGCTACAGCTCCATGTCTAGCACCTGGGGCAAATTATGGCCATGAGATGTTAAATCCAAAGGTTTGGGTTATAATATCACCTATGGTTGTAAGCATCAGGGTTTTTCTTCTCGGCTGGCTTTGATCACTCCTTGCAGCTTTCTTGAGACATTCCATGTTTCTGGTTTTTCCAAATTCCTGGGTCTCTACTGCACTTTTGGCTTCACTGTCATAGTTTCATGCCCTGCCTCTCAAATATAGTCACAGCAAGAAGCCCATTTATTGAGAAACAAATAGCAATGAGATAGTTTCAAACCAAATTGGTAGGACAGTTTCAATAATTAACACATTGCATAATTCTTCCTAGTGGTTATTTGCTGTACAAGATGCGGACATGATATGCTATTTACAAACACCATTAGAACAAATCCCTCTATTCATTAAGAGAATGTAACTATGCATCTATCCTAACCACTTTGAATACAC